GACCTGGGGCCAGTAACTTTACCTGTATATGCTTTTGTTTATTTGTGAAACTTAAGAGACTTTTGTTGAGGAAAACCCTTGTTCTTCTATAATCTCCCATCTCCCAGTAGGCTCTGTCTTTGAACAGCCTTCTCCCACTAGCCTTGGATTTGCAGAATCAAACTAATGGCCTTGGTAGCCCTGAGTTTCTTCTGACTACTGTTTTTTTTTTTCCTCTGTGAGAACAGCTTTATTGGGTAACTTGGCCGTCCCCAAGTGGCTCTGGATCACTAGTGTGACAGGATGAGATGGTGCCTCACTGAAGATGCGGAACCCTTCTTCATTATAGGACAGTGACAGCTGACACTAGATGACTAAAGGGTGTCCTGGGGGTCAGGGAAGAGATTACCCGTATCTGCCAGCTTCAGCTATTGATGCCATTGCCCTTTCTTGGGTCTGTGGCTGTCAAGGGCACTGTGTGGGCGGGAGAAGTTTCTTGAAGAGACCAGTTAGGCTCACCTAGCCCCTAAACAGCCTCCCCATTGAGTTGCTTGAGAGCTGGAGGGACATCAGAGCCAGGTTCATCACACTGTGTCACCCCAGTAAAGACAGACCCTGAGCCTATAGGAAGCTGAGTGCCTCCGCAGAACCCCACAGAGCTGGTCTCAGGCTTTATCATCACCTGCCCATTGCTGTTCCAGGTGCCATCAGGACTGAAGCAGGGTCCTCTTCCAAGTCCGGCCAGCATGTGGGGTCACCTGCAAAGTTCCAGTGCCTTTAGGATGGTGTCTTGTTGGGCGTGATGGCCCCCGTCTTCTTTGATGCACCCTTCAGCAGTGTGAGCTTCTTAAGCAGGCTGGAGTTGGCTTTCATCACCACGTCATGTTCAGTCTTCTTCCGGAACTTAGCTTTTGCTGCTGCACGATGCGCGCCTTCTTAGGAGCGGTGACTCGACCGCCTTTCCTCGGCTCTCGGCTCTGCTCTGCTGCAGCCACTGCCTTGCTTTTAGGTTTCTGAGCCTGGAACTTGCGCTGTCCCTGCACCATGTCCCACCACAAGCCGGAGGGGGCCTGGCTACTTTCTTTTTAACACTTATTCACTGTGTGTGCTTGCATGTCTCTCTGTGTGTGGGGGTGTATTGGGGAGCTATACATGTCACTGTGTGTATGTGATGTATTTGGGGGGTAGTCTGCTCCCTATCAGTGTGTGTGTGTGTGTGTGTGTGTGTGTGTGTGTGTGTGTGTGTGTGTAACTTTGTGAAGTTGTTTCCTATCTTCACGTGTGTCCTGGGGATCAAACTCAGTCCATCAGGCTTGTTCAGCAAACACTAACATGTTGTGCTATCCCCCTGCCTTCTTTCCCACCTTAATCTTTTGAGTAGATTTCCAGCTTCCACCATGTAAACATCTACAAGGGTCCCTTGAGCTGAGTTTTCCTCTGAGCCTGGGCATATTCCCTCCTCTCATCTCCTCTCATTCCTTTCCTGTCTTCCCATCGCTCTTCTCACCTCCCCTTATATTCCCCCTCTTCTCTGTCTCTGTTTTCTCCCTCCCTCTCTTTTTCAACAGGGTCTCATTATGTAGCTTTGGCTCTCCTAAACTCACTGTGTAGACCAGGCTGGCTTTGAATTTGCCGTGATCCTTCTGCCTCAGCCTGCAAAGTGCTGCAATGATAGGTGTGAACAACCATGTTGAATGTTGAAGAACACTTGTTTTTGGCTTGTTGTCTACCAGACTCCTCCAATGGTTTGATTGAGGGAGTTCTGTTCTCTGGCACATTTATTCACCCTTACATGGAGTGCAGTTATAGGAACACACCCTGTTAGTTCAAGCACCCAGGCTTCCTCTATGGGAAAATATTTTCTCAGCTGTGAGGCTCTCAATTCAGAGAACCACAGAATCTTCAGACTTGACCGGACCCTTGATGCCATCTCTATCTTTCACCATCAGATGTAGCCTCCAGAAAGGCAGAACAGATAGCTTCTAGGAGTTTGTGAGAAATACAGAATCCCAGGAGCCACCCAGAACTACTGAATCAGAATTTCAGTTTTAATAAGTTCCCAAGAGATGGGAGCTCACACGAAAGCCTGAGAAATGCTGCTGCACAGCAGCCTCCTAGAAGATGCAGGGATCCAACCGGTCGATAGCCTTCAGGGTCATCTTCAGCATGCAATGTGCTCTCCAGAATAGCAATTTCCAATTTTGATTGCACATTGAAATCGCATAGAGTTAAAGAAGAAGAAGAAGAAGAAGAAGAAGAAGAAGAAGAAGAAGAAGAAGAAGAAGAGAAAGAAAGAAAGAAAGAAAACACTCTAATGCTGAGACCTTGCCCCTAAATGATCAGATTGGAATCTCTGCTCTCTGAAATCCCGTAGTGGCTTTGAACTCCTGATCTAGAGCCATCTATTTGCATCTTATGTTATCTCCTTCTTTCCTGGCTTTGATTTCCTGTGAAAATGCAAATATGCCCTTAGAAAGGCAAAACTGTTATCTCTCATTTACACTTTGCTTGAAAATAGTAATTTTTAATCAGCATAAATAATTTATCACAAAACGCTCTAATATGCAGTAGTAGGCATAGCAATTCACACAGAAACCTTCTGAAGTGGAAAGGACAAGAGTCTAGAGAGGTGATGAAAGTGCTCAGTAGGAAGGTAGCCCTAAAGGGCAAAGGTCATGCCTGACCTTCATCCACTAACCTGCTTTGGGGAAGCTGCTGGGCCAGGACCAGAACCTGGGGCTCTTCTTTGGTGGGTCCACTGTGGCATTCTTGCCTTCTTCCTGCTGCCTTGTGCATAGAATGAGTTGAGGGAAGTGTGGTGAGGCAAGATATGCCAGCGGTGACTAGGACTGGGGTATCTGTCAGCAGAGCTTGGGGCCCGTTTCCCAGTGCTGGGCCTGTCACACACTTATGTCACAATTTGATAGCTATAAAGGCAATTCCCTGTTCCTGTCCACTCAGTTCTCCTCTAGAGCCCAGGGTAATACGTTTTGGTTTGTTAACACAGCTGTTTAACAGAGTTTTAGCTTTTAAAATAATTTTATTTAGACACTGCTGCAGTAGATTGTTATTTGGGAAGTATAAGCTGTGTTAACAGTGCCTGTAAGCAGACTGGAGTTCATTTTCAGTCAAAAGTTGGGGGACAGGGGTTGAGAGAATGTTATTTTAAAATAAAAAATAGCCACTTCCCATAATTATAGTAATGTACTATTAATAAAAATATAACACCAAACAATGCCCTGATAATAAATAAATTTGGAGGCACAAACAATTTAGGTTCCAATGAATATTATCCACACATCAAATTTCAGAAAATGTTCATATCCCAAATTCTGCTTTATATGTATTCATTTCTCAAACCAAATTATTTTTGCAAAGTAAGTCAATTTAATCTAGATGCTCAAGGACAAAATATCACCAGTTTCTTCACCCTGTTCCTGATAGGCTAACTTTTAAGCCTGAACAAACATACCGAGTTCTGCTAATAATGACTTTGACACATAAGATAGATTCATAGATAGCTTGGAGGTATAAAAACTTGCTTCTTGGGTCCTTAAATGTCTCAGCAGGTGATCTTTAGAGATAACTGTCTATTACAATTCACTCTTTATGCCAAACAAATATTGTAGGCAGAAGGAATTTTCTTTGGAATTTGTGGTGAGGTACAGATGTTGGTGGTCACTATGTGAACCAGGTGTTCCCAGGTTGCTAACATCTTGCTGAAAGAACTGAAGAGGCACACACAAACAAAACAGCAAGGGTTTTCTTCAAAGGCTGCAAAAGTGAGAGTAAACATCCAGCAAGGGAGCAGTAGGCTCTAAGAAGCCTCAGTCACGGCAAAGAAGGAATTAGTTTCTAGGAGTGTTACCTGTTTTGGTTGACAGGCCTAGGTTACATACGCCTTTGAACCCTAAGCATGTCCTTTCCCGAGATGCATCTAATTTCAACCCTATGCATAATGAATCCTGCATAGGCATATGAAGGAACACAGTTCATTATATACCTGTGTCTCCATTATGAGGATATAACTTGTATTACTGTTCATGAAAACCAGTCCAAGATGGGCCAGCTCATTGCCTCCGGTTCTAAGATACACCCCAGGGTGTATGTAACCACAAAGGGAAGTAACGGGAAGGTTACTACGTAACTATTTGGTGATGTTAGGGCTGAGATAATAGTTGCTTTGCTTGGAGAGAGGTGTGTGTAGCTCAATGTAGCTGAGGGTTCAAGGTCACTAAGCTATTCCTGCAAACTACCTGCTTCATGTGCTCAGTGCAGCGTTGTTATCTGCAGGCACAAGGCTGCACAGCAGATCCCTAGACCAGTAATCCTCAACCATCCTAATGCTGCAACCCTTTAATATAGTTCCTTATGCTGTGGTGACCCTCCACCCATAAAATTATTTCATTGTTACTGCATAACTGTAATTTTGCTACTGTTGTGAATCATAATCTGATATGCAGGATATCTGGTAAGTGATCCCCTGTGTGTGGGGGGGGGGGGGTCATGACTCACAGGTTGAGAACCACTGCTCTAGAGCATATTCATGTTGCATAACTAAAAACTTGTTACCTACATGTTAGTAACTAAGTCCCTTCTCTCTGGCCTTAGTGACTACCATCATTGTGTTTCCTGTTTCTCTGAGTTTGATTTTTTTTTCAGTTACTGGACATAATGGTTCCACAGCTTGTCAACTGTGAATGCTGCTTCAGTAACAAGGAAGTGCTGCAGACAGCATTGCTGTTTCCATTATGACCATGCAATTTGCTTTCCTAGGAAAATGTGAGTGGAAGATGGAAAACATTTTAATAGCATGTTTTCTAGTAGGCACAATTATTTTTCCCATTAATATGATATTTTGATTTTATTTGGATACCAATTTTGGTATAGATAGCCTACTTTCCCCCCACTGGCTTGTATTTTCAGTTCGATATTTGTATTTATTTTTGAACATATACAGACTGGAATGACTAGCTTGAATATTCTTGAAAAGCTTCTATTTTTAACATAAAATACTTGAGGAAATTACAATGTGTTTTTTATTTTATTTTAAGCAAAAAAATAATCCTAGTCATTTTCCAAATTAATCTTTTGTATCAATTCATATTTCTTAAAGATGGGCACTCCTAAGAGAATTCAGTGATAATTGTTAATCATACCCCGCCTTGAACACGTGACATCAGATGAACACAGTTCTTTTTAAATGATATCTTTATAAATTAATTAAATTAACTTTTCTTCTGTGTGACTCAAATACAAATTATTCAGAATTTTTAAAAAAGGGTGCACCAGTGAAGATTCATCAGCTTGTACTGTTAGTTTCATTTATCTACTTATTTTGTCATGAAAATGTGGCAACATGCAAATTTGAAAACATGCAGTCAAATGTGAAATAACTGTACAGGACATATGTGACAATATTCTACATCATCCACGTCTGTTCCCTTTTCCAGTTCTATTATGTTTTCCTGCTTTCATTGTCTTTTCTTTGTCCTAAGTTCCTTCCATATATGTTCTTGTTCTCTTTGGTTAGAGAAAGCCCAGGAATGCATAATACATCTACATGCACACATAGGTCCACAAAGAACAATAATATATATAAATACATGAGGTATACATACATATACACATAATGGGACAATATATACATATGTATTGTGTTTTATATCACACACACACACACACACACACACACACACACACACACACACACACACACACGCACACACTTTGTTACTCCCTATTAAGTACAACTTTTCTATTGCCACAGTCTGCTTTTCACCCCAGTGAAGGAAGATAGTTTGAATGATATACATGAATACATGTATAATTAAGTTCAACATTACAAAAGAGCTTAGAGACAGAGAATTATTAAGACCATCCTCTTATTCACCAAATAAACACATAAGAACCATCTCCATGTTCTAAATGTCATTGTGGATAATTTATCTATGATCATGCACTCATAAACACTCTAATCTATTCCTGCAACTCAGAACCAAGAGAGTGCCTTAGTAGCCTCTCCTGGGACACATTGTTGCAGTCTAGACAAAATCAAGGAGGATGTGCCCGAGACAACCTTACCCTAACAGGGACACAAGAATGTGCCAGTTGGGAAAGATATTGTGTGCCATCGGTTTAGCCTAGGAAAACTATGTCAGAGAAGCAATGTGACTCATCCAGGGCCCTATAAAAAGTAACAAACAACACAGAAGGGCAGAGAACATGAAATTAAGACATACTGGATGAATTAAGAGGCACTAAAGCTGTTGGAAAATCTGAGTGGGCCTAGTGTTCTCAGCAGCAGCCAGGACTCGATAGTGTCTCCTGCCAGTTGTAGGTGTGTTCTGTGTTCTGTGTGCACACCCCCATTTGAATGGCCCAGTCACTTTTCCTACCCGGGAGAACCCTTACCTATTATCTCATTGCCATTTTGGAAGGTCTTTCGCTGTCTTAAGATTCAGTCTTTGATTCATCATTATTCCAAGTCCATGTAGGGAGTGAGTGATTTGGTTCTTTGACTTGGCCTCGGGTCTTGATTGTCATCTCAGTGCTTCTGGGGTTTCAGTCTAGGGTGGACTCAGCTTTGTCACTGGGAAATGTGACATTGATGGGATAAAATGAAGTAAACATTCAGTGAGTGTCCACTGTGTGGTGTGCAGAGAACATCCATTTGTTCTGTGAGCACATCTTTGAAAATAATATATGCCCCATTGTTCAGGGCCAGAAACTAAAGCCAAGTCTCTCATCCTTGACCACTGATCTTTTTTCATATTGCCATTTTATTTAACACCGTGAACCTCAGGCATAATCTGCTGCTTCCTTGGCTAAGTAAGTTTCTTGAAAAGACACATGGTTGTTCTTTCTAACAAGGCCACCATCTGGACATGCCACACATTTTTCCCTTGAACCTTTCTGATGCAACACCCCTCTCCCCTTGTGACTGGGTACAACGTAAGTCTCCCTGAATCTAGCTGTTTTCTATCCTCTTGAAACCTTCTACATTATAACACTTCTCAGACCACATAATCATCCCTTATCTCTCTGTATCTGTGAGGTATGGGTTCTAGGACATCCCATAATTATCCAGGTCTCTTGTTTAAAAGACCACAGTAAATACACACAATCCAATGCACATCCTTCAATATACTTTAAACCATCTCTTGATTACTTATAAAAACATAAGGTATTGTTCAGGCAATAATAACAAAGAAGTCTTTATATTTTTAAAAAGGACACGGTTTTGGGGTGTGAGGGGAGTATTTTCCAATTGTGGATGGGTGAATCTCAAGGGTATTGAAGCAGTGGCCACAGAAGGCTGGCTGTACTTTCCAATTCTTTCAGTCTGCCACCTAGTCCTTATTGTCCTCCTTTTAGGAACTACACAAATAAAAATAAAATCAATCTCAGATTGCAAAATGCACTTTTAATTCTTTTCACAGGTTTTTCTCTTGGCATCAGAAAATCCATATTTATTAGCATCATTGCTGAATAACTCAAAAAACGAAATCTGCATTCTCTTGCTTCCTAGGCTCACCTCCAACCCTGGAAGTCTGCCCTTCCCACCTTCCCTTCTCATGCCTCCCAGCCTCCCATTTCCGCTGTGTGGGAGGACTGGATATGGGCTGCCTGGAAATTATGATTTGCCTTCCTAGAGTCTTTGCAAAGATGGGATGGCTTTGGTCCTGTGATCTGTGTGTGTGTGTGTGTGTGTGTGTGTGTGTGTGTGTGTGTATTAAATGCTGCATTTCATTTCATTTTTATTTCATTTTACTTTTGGCAAGTGAGTGGCTTTCCGAACCTCAGGGCTTTTCTGAAAATAAACCTCGTACAGGACTTCCTTTGCTTTTAACAAGTGACATCTGACTGGTCTGGGTGGAGGTGGGGGGAATGTCTTTTGTGGGAGCTGAGACTGCAATGTCTAGGTCGAACTGAGACATCATTTTTCTGATGTCTTCACTTTATAGGAGAGAAAAATAAGGTCTTGAGAGTTCAGCAGAATCACTAAACTCCCTCTGACAATTAGTGACAGGACCGGGAGGCAAGTATAGATCTCCTGACCCCATGTCTGTAGAGACTTCCAAGATGTGGTGTCTTTCACAAATGAACCCTGTATTTTACAATCGCAAGCCAGCTCTCCACATACATACCTTTAGGAAGAGACAGGGTATTATGTGACAACTTTGGGCCTCCTTGCTTTGCTATGCCACATGTGGCTAGCAGCTATGGGAGGCTGGATGTCCTTGAAGCATTCCCCAACATCTGCAACCCGTTCTTACACCAGATCTCTGTGCTGTCGAGAAGATGGCAGCTTGTGTCTCTTTCTTGCATGTTTAATTTGGCAGCTCTGGACAGAATGACATAGTTTGTGAGGTCTGCTCTTCCTGCTCACCTCCCTCTTGGGAGTGCTCATCTTATTGCTTCATTTCTTCTAGGATGTTCAGGTCTGAATCTTTCTCTTGGTATTTCAGTCAGTGTTGTTCTTCCTATCCCATGAAGCCTGTTACCTGAATTGCCCTCTATCCTTTTAAAAGTCATTCATATTTTCTCTTAGACCCAAGCAAAGGTATTCCACTGATTAAATCATGAGCATTAAAAAAAATAACACCAATCACCTCCATTCACTGTAGAATCCAGATCTTGCATACTGACTTTATGCACTACATATTTCCCTTTTCCGGATCACTGTGAACATGACTATCTTACCTGCTGTAGATTCTGGAGTTGCTGTCCTAGGAGACAGCTAAATTACTGTTAAGTTAGTCATTGTGCTTATGTTAATGTACTGTAGTAACGTGACTTTACCTCCTTTGCAGGGAGAATATGCCTATTTTGTGAAGAGACATGTGGGTAAAAAGTTCTTTAAACGTGTTCCTCTACCTCTCTTTATTTTATGCTCTTAAACAAGACATGTATTTAACTTGAGGTGTATATTTCAAACACTGGAAGTGTCCGAAACACCAAGATTCTGACCAGTAAGGTATTTGAGGGTGGTTGGTCCTGTATCCTCCATGCCCATTGGCTGGTCCAGGGTGAGAATGGCGGTCCCAGTTTTACCATTGAGAATGAGCCCAAGACACTGTGTGGAGATGGACCTCCCCACCCTTCAGTCAGAAGGGAGCATCCAGCTGAAAAAGCCTCAATCATTATCTTGCTTCCTGCTCTATCGATGCAGGTCTAAATGTGGAAGGCAGGTTAAAAAATCTTCGGAAGAAAGCATAGAATGGAGTGTTCATGATCTTGGGTAACGGTTCTTAAACAGGTTATAAAATATATTAGTCATTAATAAAAATTCACCAGGAATAAGTCCAGGACTGCTCCTGGAAAATCCCATTATTGACATAATCATGGTGTAGACTTTAATGAGACTGGTGATTATTAGTCTTCTTGCCCTGTTGTAACAGAGTGCCATATGTTGAATGGCTTAAACAGTAGTAGTGTATTGGGGACAGCTTTGTTGGGTTCTGGGGCCAACTCTGTTTTACAGGTGATCACATTCCTACTGTGTTCTAATAAGCAAGGAGTGAAGGGGAGCAGAGAAGGAGAGGGAAGATAAAGGAGGGGGACTTTTTGTATCAAGTAGTTATAGCTGCCCTAAAACCTGTTGTGTAGACTTGGCTGCCTCAAATATGCCTCTGACTCCTGAGTACTGAGATTACAGTCACAGTATTATTGGATTTAGGTACCTAGCCCTGTGACCTCCTTAACCTTAACTGCCCTATAAAATCCTCTCCTCCATGAATGGTCACATGGGAATTTGGTACACTGACATATTAATTTTGGAGGGATACAGTTCAGTACATAGATATGACTGTGCATTTTGTAATAGTATATGTCATCCCATACCATGATGCTTACACTGTTATGCCTCCAGTATTCAGTTTTAAAGAACAATTGGCTGTACAACTGTTTTCTTCTCCCAGTAAAATCTAATTCTGAGTCCATTTGTATTGCATCTTTGTTCTATTTTGTTTGTGTTTTCTATGCTACATTGTTTACGTTCTTATCACAGAGGTTGCCACATAATGGGACCCATTCTGGATGGATGTTGGAGATGGGGGAAGTGATTCTGTTGTTTGTTGATCTAGTTTTATCTGTGAATGGGATGTCTGAATTCTGCCTCAGGAATGTAGACTAGACAAGTGTGATCAGCACTTGATGGGTACTAGATGTATCTACTTCTTGATCTGGGTGGTATTACAATGTGCTCATCTTCCTATATATAGTTCTTCAAGAATTCAAGAATACCTGTCTTTTTGCATACTTACATTGTGTGTTAATAAAATATGTGCATGTGTATTCCACACTCATAAATTTAGTTTAGTAAGGCATTAGGTTGGTGTGAGTTTGTAGAAATAGTCATGCTTATGTATTACTTCCAATTATGTACAATTTTTGTTGGCCAAATTATCAAAATTGAAAGCATTTACTGATTGACTGATCAAGGGCTCATCTAGCAATGAACCCTGCAGTTTAGGATAATGCGAGCAAATGGTCCCACATTCAAGGTCACTCACTGCAATGGTGTTTATCGTGATGCAATGGAAAACGATAGAAAAAAAGAACAAACAAATCAGACATCACATGGTAGAATACTATTCAGATGCTAGTGAGGAGGCAGCAGATCTGCTGACTTGGAAGGGTCTGTGGATTAATAAAGATGCAGAAATTGCTCTTGTTGGAGATGAGCACAAGCATGTGTGATTTTCTTGGTGTTTGTAGATATCTATAGAAAGCCACCCAAAACACCTGGTGCCTTTCCAGGGAGGAAACATAAAATGACACTTTGTTACTATCCAATCTACTTAATAAATATTGCAGATTTCATTTCATTTAAGTCAATGAAACCAAAACACGAATTTCCCCCCCTCTGTGCTTCTCTCACCTTCATTTAGGGTTATTATCAAACATTTCACAATTGATAAGTTTTTCTTTGGTTTCTTCACATCTATCCATGGGGAAGAAGCTAGACTGTTCTTCTAATGATATTGCACAAAGTAGGGAAGGCCATTTACCGACTGGCTACATCATTAATTGAGTTTAAATCACCAGGGAATTCCAACACATGTTTTAGCAACAAAATATTCAAAGTAATTTTTGCCATTGTTAGCTCCATCCCCCATCACCGAAGGCAGGAAGAGGGTGAATGTCACGTGACTCATTTGTCTTTAGCTAGATTGACATGATCCATGAGCTGGCTGTCAAACTGGAAGGAGAGTGAACCTTGAGGGAAAATGATTTTAACTGCAAAGGAAAGGAGTGGGTTCCTTCTGAAGCTCACCTCACATGTGTTACAGTCCCCATGAAGAAAGTTTTGTCTGTGGCCCAGGACCCAGGGTCTGTAGAGGCCCTCAGAAGTAAAACATGACTCAAAGGTGAGGCCTGCAGGAAAGAAACAAGGGGACCTTTGAAGAAAGAAACCTGGTTCCTCCATCAGCTATGACCATCTAGGACAGCTGGAGATACATGGTTAGGAAGACATGTCAGCTCCTATCTAGCAGAACAGTCAGTATGCTAAAAACCTGTGTTTTAGAAATTAACAATAGGCAAGTTACATAATGGGCTTTTAAAAAGACACAGTGTGGAGGGTTGGGGAAATGGGGGCTGGGATTCCATGGTGCTGTTTCACTAGCTCGACCAAATTGAAAGTAGACCTAGGACTGCTGGCACAAACTGTCCTTATTCCAACTTGGGAAGGCTAAAGAAGGAAGATTTTTCATTTCAAGACTATTGAAATGCAGTTTGTTCCAGATGAACCAGGACTACATGGTGAAGCTCTGTCTAGAAAAGTAAAGCAAAACAAATTGCAAACAGCAACAACCCCTCTGAAAATTTAGTTATGGCCACCATCCATTCATTTGGAGAACACACACTGCAAGCAGAGCATGGGGAGAAACTCCCAAGTCCCCTGTTGGATCTGTCCTCCACCTGATCCCCTTGAGAGTCTGCCTGCTGTGGAGGCAGAGGGTCCAGATTTAGTCTCTTTTCTGCACTTTTGAGGAGAGAAGGTACGTGGATTTGGGTGGTTACTCAGCCTTTCCCTGCTTCCCTTGTAGCCTTGGCTGTAAGATGGGGATAGTGCTAATAGCTACACCTTCTTGGTATGGTTGCTGTGGGGATTAAAAGGCACTTCAAAGAGGGCCCTGTACCCAGAAGATTGCATGCATATAATAAATACACATCATGCACACTAACATATTAAGATGTTAGTCTTAATACTCATGACTATTATTTGTTCAATTTTATGCACCAGGGAGTCATTTTAAGCAAGAAAGAGCAGAAAGGGAGGTGTCTACATTAGGGCACTTGGTTGGTCTGGGATACCCCAAGAACTCGGATGTCAAAAGTCCCTACTGATGGGATCTGATACAGAAAGACTCAAATGGGGGTGGCATGCTATGCCAAGAAAACTGAAAGCAGACCCCAGTGTGGCATGGAGGTGAGGGAGATGGCCTCTAGTGGCCTCAATGATCCTAAGGGTCTACTTTAGTGACAGAAAGTATCTCTCCAGTCTCCTTGCTGCTTTCCCTGCCAGATTTCTCCTCAGAAGTGTAGTTCAGTCTGGATGTTCCAGCACTAATTCAGTGTAAAAGGAGAAACTCCTGTGTCTTGACTTAGACTTCCGGGATACTCAAATAGAGGCGGACGTTGAATGTATTTATGGGACAATTACACACCTGAAAATGCCAAAGGGTAAGGAAATATATTCTCACCTTGCTAAAAGGATTAGGTTCAGATGGGATCAAGAGTAGAAATCAGGGGCGGGGACGTCAGTCAACACTCTGGCTCTCCTAAGGAAAGGTTAACAAGAAGGAGCAGGATGCTGCTCTGCCAGGTGGGGTGTGGCGATCACCCGCGGACCACAGTCAGTGACCGCAGTTTCCATCTGTGGGGCGCTTCCAGGGCCTTTGATCTTTCCCCGGGATTTGGCGAGGGCCGTTTTCCTTTTTAGTGCATTCCTCTTAGTTTATTTATTGTATCTGCTTCCAGGAGGGCCTGGAAGTCAGAATGTCAGTTTGCACTGGAGCTGGCACCCTGTTGGGGCAATACTGGGAACTCCAGCCAGCCGCGCACTTCTGGAGGGAAGAGGAGAAGGAGGTCTGTCCTTAGCTGGGGAGCTAAGTGCTGGCCCCTCCTTGTTCCTATTCCCCAACCCCAGCCAGGCCGGCAAACGCCCCCTTTACAGAGTTGCCAGGATTAGCTGGGAGTTTGATTTCCTTTTCTGGAGGGTCTAAAGTTGCCATCCGCCACCATGAGGGTACCTGTTCCCTAGTCACCAGTCCCTAATCTCCATTTAGCCTTTGCATCTGAGTGGCCAAGCCTCAGCTCTCCATCTGCGCGCCTTAAATCCCATTTATCTTCTTAGCACCCCAGACTTGGCCAGCCCTGCCCGCCTTGTCCCTACTTGCAAATAACAGCCCCTCCCTTGCGCTTCCTCTGGAGCGCCAGACAGAGTAGAGTAACCTTTGAGGTGTTAAGAAAAGTGACTTAAACTGGGTGCAAGCGACATAGAGGGGCGGGGGTGAAGAGAAGTCCAGCCAGTGGAACCGAGGCACCCTGAGTTCAGGGTCAGGACCCAGCCGAGGTCCCTGAGTTCGCAGCTTGAATCTACGAACTCCCGCGGGGTGTCGAAGGCGGTCCCACCCAGGCCCCCAATCTAGGTCACCCGCGGGGAAGGGCTGAGCTGGGGACTGTCTGCTCTGGAGGTGGGCGAGGAGTGAATTGATTCAGACCCTGCCCCTCGCTCTTCCACTAGATTGTAATTCCATCTCTGGCGGGTCGAGCCGCCCTCCCTCCGGCGGCCAGTGCGTCCCTCCCCTCGGCCGCCAGCGTCCACTCCCCAACCCCGAAAAGCCCTGCAGCCGCGAGCCCGCTCCACTCCAGCACGCCAGCCTCGCAGCCGCTGCCTTGCCTCCTCGGACTCCCCAGTGGCTCCTCGTTCAGCTCCCTAGGTCCCCCACCTTCTCACTCGAGCGCCACTGGCGTCCCCGCGTCCCCCAGGAGACGCCCTTTCCCTGCGCGCCCGGGACTTGGTGAAACTTTGGAGACACCGTTGGCGAGATGGATTTAATCCCAACCTTCTTGCTCCGTTTCTTGCTCCTGGCCTGCAGCCTTTCACCGGGCGCCGTGTCACTCCGAACCGCTCTGCGAAAATCAGGTAAAGCTCTCAGTGCGCCCCAGCCATGGTGCCCGGAGCACCCTGGTCCTGGCCTTTGGTGGGATCGCAGAGCAGGCAGCTCCACACTGCTCTTTCCACTGGTCCACATGGGCTCAGCACGCTTAGCCTGAGCTCAGAGCTCAGCTGAAGGGTGAGCCTCGCCCTCCCCCAGCTCAGGCGGTTCCAGGGAGATTCTTGTTTTAAAAAAAGAAGAAAGAGAAACATCTGTTTTCCAGAGCCACAAGAGGTGGTGGGATCTGTAGGGAAACACAGAGTGCTAAAAGTTGGGGGCAGCGATCTCTCTGTCTCGGTTACTGAAGGCTCAGGGAGCGCAGAGGACTCCAACAGCTCCTCCTGCTTCTTTGAACATCTTATTGGATTCCTATTGCTTAGAGCCCAGCCATTTCCTGTTGAGTGTCTGAAGGTTTGCCTGGAGCCCCCCTTCCTGGCTCTGGTCCTGTCCAAGCACTGGGTAGGGACCTGCGCTTTCTGCTTTCTCCGCTGTTGGGATACTCTTGCACCCCAGGGCCATCTGCACAGACAGGAGCCCTCCTTGGGTTAATCTGATCTTGTTTAGAACTACTGCCTTTGCTCGGCTGTTCAAACAAAGATGTATGTACCGTAGGCAGAGAACGAGAAGCCACAAACACTCACATTTCCTCTGGGTAAAAAGTATGTTTTTTTTTTTTTTTTTAAATCTACATTGATTTGGTTTGTGTCATTAAGAAAAGTAGAACATTCTAAATAATAAAGTTCTAAACGTTGCTTCCGAATAACGATTTTTAGTCTTTGTTGGCTAGGACCATATTTAGGATTGTGAAAAAAAAATCTGCTTTTTCTTAGCTTACTTTGCAAATGGGGGTTGTCTTATGGGATTAATTATGTCTTCTGAACAATGGAAAACAATCTAACTATTTGGATTCAGCCTGCAAAACCTCAGAGAAAGTGGAGTCCCCCCTCATAATGTTTCTACAAGAAAGAGGCGAAACAGGAAAAATTATCGGAGTGCAAAGAAAATAATCTTGTCAGGTTCCCATTTGGCTGCTAAAATATTTCTTAGTGCCTAAGGATCTGTGGGTAGTGGTAGGACCGTTGCCTTTCATCCTAGCAGCCATCTAGGTCTTCAGGTCTTCAGGCTGCATCCATGGTCACCTGATTTGAAATTTAGAAACAGTCTCAGCTTTCTCACCACACTCAGATTCAGAACCAACCTGTCTGCACACTGTCCAGTTCATTTGGGAGGCAAGAGCAGTCACCCAAAGTAGTTTCTTGTTAAATTGTCTTCTCACATCTTCATACACCTTCCAGCATTTCAATATGAGGCTCCTTTGAACTTTCTTCCTCAAGATAACTACACTATGATCTTGCATTCTGCAGGCTTCTGCGCATGAAACAGTCTAGCCACATGTTGGAATAGCTCATCCATACATCCGTGGCTCTGAGCCTGAGTGGCAAACACAAGTTCTCCAAGGGTAAACTTCAAACCATTTAAGCAGGTGGTAAAATTATTGCACAAAAGCCCACTGTTTAAAATTGCACACATATTTTGCCCCATTTGCCCCTTTATTTCCTAATTTTTGGCCGTTCCTCTCCTAAAAACATTTTCTTCCTGTTTCACTCAGCATCTTGTTCAGATATTGATGTCACCCATGTATCATGTTGGTTTCTTTGGTTTTACTTCAAGTAAAACCAAAGATGGGAGTGATTTTGAAAAACTTCCTTTTGGATGTTCTTGGACCCATCAAGGTGGAAGGGATATTTAGACTAGCTGTGGCCTAGAAGGACCTTTTTTTAATTTTTTAATTACTTCATAGTTTTACTCAGACAATGGCTTTCAGGTTGAAAAGCTGCTTGGCTGAAAAATGACAGCCACTTCATAAACTTCAGGAGAAATTTTCCTTGTGGGCTCATTTACATCCCATGGAAAGACTAGTTTTTGATCCGTAAAATTGGTCCAGATTAAAAACTGAATGTGCCCCAGTTGGCTCAGATGTGAACAGCAAGGAGCTCATTTGTAATCTCCCCCAGACACCCGCAAATCCTGCTCCGATCCATATGGGAGTGACTTTGTACCTTGTTTCCCCCCACAGAAATTGGCTGTGTGCAGCACTTTAAAGGTGGTGTGGTGATCATGCAGGCATTCCAAAGCAGTCTGTTTTGTTTATCTATTCCTCTTTACGATGCTGCTTAATCGACTTTTGATAAGTATAGTTTAGTTGGGAAGTCTTGGTTTCCAATTAACCTGAAGGTTGCATCACTTCTTTTAGAAAGAGATAGGTAGTGAAGAACACCTTGCCCCCTCACCTCAAGGTATAGCCCCTTCTGGCATGGAACATTAGGAAAGAAAGCTCCACATATGCCAAGGCTAGAAGCAGTTGCCACTGCAGTACTCAAACCAAGTCAAAGTAAATAATAATAACTGACACTAATTAACTGCTTGTTTCACTGTTCTGAGAACTGATTTCTTTAATCAAGCCGGCAGCCTTGTTTCTTTGTTTTACTGGGGCTGGGGGGGGGGAGAACTGTGGCTTAGAGAGAAGCTCAGTATCTTACCTGAGGCCACACAGAGGCTAAGCGGAGGGATGGGCTCTGCTATTTGCCATGAACCCCCAGTCCTCAGCTGTCTTGTTTGCAGAACTATGTAGCCTTGGGTGTTTTCAAGGCTGAGTTCTCTGGGGACAGAGCCCTGCAACCTAGGTAGAGGGCCTGGCCTTGCTGTTTTGTGTGGGAGATCTGTGTTGACCATGGAACATGACACAGACCCCAAATAAAATAGTACCCAGACTACTGATGTGGGGTGCAGAATGATACTGTCCCCTGACCTCATACATAAAGAGTGTTCATAACCTTACAAAGTAATGAGGAACTGCTTGCTGGCTTTTATTAGATTTCTGGGCATTAATGCTTGTGGGGACCAGAAGGACACTGTAGTCCCTTGGGGGTAGAGCAATGAGAAGATGGAGGCCCCTATGTCTACAGCACCTTAACACACCACCCTGGGCCTCCATGCTGTACAAGCACAATGTGCTGAAAAGGTTTCCCTCCTGTTCTGCTCCAAATTGGAAGCAAGTGAAAACCCCTCAATTGGCAATGAGATTGAGAGGTACTGAGTGATTTGTCCAAGTTAACATCAAAAGTTGAACTGGGGTAGTGTGAAGACCCCCAACACCGGAGGCCTGCTGACTCTTGCTTCTGCTTCTCAGCAGGAATTTCAGAGGGAGAGGAGGAAAGAATGCTACAACCATGGGGCCAAGCAGGGAAGAAACCACCCATAGTCCACAGGCAGATCTATAACTCTGCCCTTCTTTATGAAGATCTCTAGGCAGCTATTGAGATAAAGACATTTAGAAAAAACTCTTCCTTTTCAGGGATAGTGTGATAAGTTCTAACAAACATACCCAGTAACAAAACCCTTCGCAGTTCAGCCTCAGCCAGTAGTAACCACCTAAGTGGCCTGTATTCTCTCTTCCTCATCATCAATGTGGCACCTGTCTAGCTCCCCTCATGTGGCCTTTTGCTTTAAAATATATGGACTATTTTCTTTCCTCTAGAATATTGTCTTGTGTTCCTTAGTAGAAAGCCTTTACAGACCCTGGCAACTGATGATCTGATTTCTGTCCCTATAGTTTCAATTCTTCCAGAATGTGTCATGCTTTGTATCTGTAACATGTGCTCTTTCCTGCCAGCTGCCTTGCCCCAAATGAACACACAAGACTTATATTAATTATAAAGTTGTTGGCTGTTGGCTATGGCTTCTTATTGGCTAGCCCTGTCTAAATTATTAACCCATTTCTAATAATCTAAGTATTTCCACATGGTCTTCTCTTATTGGAGAAAGGGTCTGGACCTGTTACTCCTCTCATGTCTTACATGGTGACTGCTCAGTGACTCCACAGAGAAGAGAAGAGCACCATTTCCTGTTTGTCACTGCTTATATCTCTTTCTGCCCAACTAAGTCACTTCCTACCTGTCTGTACAGACCTCCAGACCTGTATGGATAGCTAGTGGCAGTTTCTGCCCACCTATGTCACATCTTGGGATCACCTCTCTGCCTTCACTTCCTAGAATCCTCCTCATATCCTAGTCCACCTGTCTTACTACCCTATTGGCCAACAGTGTTTTATTCATCAGTCAATAAGATAAACATGTACACAGAACAACATTTCCCATCACCTATCAGTGGTTTGTTCCTTAGTTATTGGTTAGTAGTAGTGCTTAGATGAGCACAATTTGTTGAACTGTTCACCAGGGAATGGCTTTTTAGGTGTTTTCAGCTTCAGGGTGAGGTGACTGAGGTTGCTACATGCAACATATATGTGTCTCTGGGTGGATATGCTTTTATTTCTCATGGTAAGAAGCCAAGTGGGATCCCTGCTTCCAGTAGGCTGAACTTTCCAAGAAAACACTGCATTGCTTTTCAGAGTGAGTTCACTGTTTCACATTCCTAAGAGCAACGTATAGAAGTTCCACTCATCCCAGATTCCCTATAGCATCTGGTACATGTTCTAGTTTCATTTCTGTAGCTGGGACGGAAAAAAAAAAAAAAAACACAAAAACAAACCCAAAACCTGACAAAAAGAAAATGAGGAGAGGAAGGGTGTAGCTCAAAATTCCAGGTTGCTGTCCACCTAGAAGTGACAGGAATTTGAAGCAGCCCAGTCAAGAGTAAAGAGAAATAATTACATGAGTGCTTGCTCACTTGCTTGCTTGCTGTGTGGTGATTTCCCTGGTCTTATGTGGTCATGATCTCATTGACTAGAGAATGGTGCTGCCCACAGTGGGCTGGGCCTTCCCACACCAACCACATTAATTAAGATAATTCCCACAGGCCAAGTCAGTGTTGATAATCCCTTACTAATACTTCCTTCCTAGGTCAGTCTGGGTTTTGTCAAGTTGAAAATTGAAGCTAACAATCCATGCACAATTGTTTCTTTGTCATTTCCCTGTTTGTTTTTGTTTTGTTTAAGGTATTCTAATAGGTGAACAATGATGTATCTCATTATGGTTTTAACTTTTGTTTCCTTCATGACTAATGATATTGAACTTTTGTTTCATGAGTCATTTGCCTCAATTTTCTTTGAATCTTTTGACTTTTTCAGAAAAAATTGAGATGTTTGTTTTCTTACTGATTTTTTTTAATGTTCTTTGTACATGTTGAGTGCAGTCCTTGATACAGTCCAGTTTCATGCTTTGAAAGCATCAACATCCCAGATGCTATTTGCCTTTTTTATGCATATATTTGTGTGTGCCCAGGAGTGTGTGGGTGGTATATGTGTGTGTGTCCAGGAGTGTGTGGGTGGGCATATTCTCTTCTTTTGAAAAAGGGTCTCACATTGGCTTGGAGCTAACCAATTAGGCTGGACTTGCTGGCCAATGGCCCTCAAGGGCACCCTGTCAATTTCTCTGCAGCATTGAGATTACAAGTACATGTCACCATACCCAGAAGTTTTAGATGGATTCTAGAAACTGAATTAGGGTCTTCATGCTTGGGAGGCAAATTCTTTACTGACTGACCTGTCTCTTCAGCCCTTGCCTTTTGTTTTCTTAATGGTATCTTTCAAAAAGGAGAAAATTTGAATTTGAATGGGCCCAATTTATCTCTTTTTAATGATTATTCCTTTTAGGACAACTTAACCCATGATGATAAGAATGTCCTTCCTTATCTAGAAGATTTTAACTTTCCATTTAGTTCTACAAATTATTTTGAGCTATCTTTTTGCATGAGATGTGGTATTATTTATTTAAAAAATTGTTTAGATAGGGTCTCTCTACATAGAGAGACTGGAACATAGAGGCTGTCCTGGAACTCCTATGTAGACCAGGCTGGCCTATAACTCAGGAAGATATACCTGTCTCTTCCTCCTGAGTGCTGGGATTAAAGTGTGTGCCACCATGCTAGGCCATGAGGTGTGATATTTAAATCAACATTTCATTTCTGATTTTTGGATGCATTGATTTTATTATACAAGTATTGTGCTTGGTGGTGGTGGGTGGGTCTTTGGCTTAGTGGATTGCTATGCCTCTGCTCTCAGTAGCTGATGCCACCCAGGCCTGCTCACATCCTCCTGCAGTAGATAAGGGCTGGGTCTGCTGTCTCTCTGCAGGATCTGACAGTACAGTTCTTAGGGATGTCTCTGCTGTGGCTTGTCTGTGGCCTGGTGCCAAGAGTCAGGATGGGTGTATACTGGGGGCCTGATGATTTATGGGTTAAAGGCCAGTACTCCCAGTCCTAAAGAGTGGAGTTGTTCTTTACTGATACAAAACACATGGCATTATTAAATCTGGCCAAAGTACACAGGAAAGAGAGAACACGTGGGTCCTGTTTTCCCTTCTGACTTGTCCTTAGTGCCTGAGGCCCCAAGGCCCATGGGAGAAGGTAAAGCTGGGGTTTTAGGGGTCAAGTTTTCCCGGAGTAGCTGGTATTCTCCACAGTCATCTTTAATGTGGCACAAGCCCATAATCATTTCTTTCCTGCTTCTTCAGTATTTCTCCATCCATATAATTGGACTAAAATGAAGATCTAGGGAAATTCACAAAGGAGAAAACAAAATCCCCCAAGAGGAGAAGTACCTCACAGGCAGGTACCTTGTTGGTGGATGGTGAAGAATACAGGTCCCTCTAGGTGGTTTCTGCAGCTGCTGGATAACACAGAAAGGCTAAGACATTTGGTATCATCCTGTCCTGCTTCCCCATGCCACTTCCATCAAGCTTTCAAGAGACTGGCAGTATTCTAGACATTTCCCAAAGAATGTGATTTAGAGGACTCATCTCTTCTGAATGCACCCCTCCCCCATTTCCTTTTAGTACCCAACTCTATTCCATCACAGTGAGGTTGTATTGGTTCTTGAGGAGAAACTGAGCATATAAATGCCCCCCCCCCCGGGTGTATGGATAGGTGGATAATAGATAGCAATACACAGGGATATATCATATGCACACACGTGTGTGTACTCATCCATGTGTGCCATCTAGAAGTTCCTAGCTAGTAATGCTCCCTCTTCCAGATTTCTCTATGGTGTCTAATAAATACAACCCCCCCCACTTCTTTCTTCTTGTTTTTCTCTGTCTTTCTCTCTTTTCCTCCATGACTATCTGTGATCAAAGTAAAGCAAAGGAGAGAAATTAAAGTCAGGGGTAGATGTGGTTGAACACAAGACAGTGCTTTCCCTTGAGTGACTTCTATATATCTATATCTATATATAGATATACATATATATATATATATATATCAGAGCTAAGAGTTTAATAACCCTAAAATTCCTTAGCGGGTAGTAGTCTATATATTTTCTTCTGTTCCCTCACCCAGTGGGTTCATATGGCCTGAAAGTATTCAGCAATTCCAAGCTGTATTTATGAAAGTCACAGTCCCATATGTCTGAGGGTTACAGTGGGCCTTAGCTTCCACATGGTTTGTCCTGTGGGTATCTTGTATCCCCATATCTCACTCACTGGGTTAAGTAGGCTTGTAGTATTGTCCACATAAATAAATGAAAGATATCATATGTATTTGTTTGTTTGTTTTGTTAGTTAAGTGAAAACAGTTCTCATGTAACTCAGGCTGCCTCCACCTACCTTCTGTGACTCAGGTGTATGCCACCACACCTAGGATCATGACATCTTGATGGCAGCTCGGTGCTTGAGCTGGCTAAACCCCTGCCTCTTAATGACCATTGCATGCCAGGCAC